CCTTCTGTGGGAGAGCATCCCTTCGCCTCTTACAATCTTTATCTGTCTTACTGGGCTGCAGTTATGTCACAGCATAAGTATTTATTCACCCCCTTGGTAATAAATAATACAGCTATAGAAACATGGCAGAAAATTGCTGAGTTGTAAGAATTCTCCACAAAATGGTTTTGGAGTTGTTTTGGCTTGCATCTCTTTTAATACCTGCAGGACTGCCCTCTGCCCTGCCAGTGGGTGTGTCGGGAGCAGTGGAGAAGCTGGTGCTTTGGTTGTTTCACAGTCAGCCCATGGAGCTTGGAGACACACTACACATGTGCGTGCTTGCCGTCCCTGCCCTCAGGAGGCCAGAGAAACAGTGGCACACTTTGGGAAATGCTTAAGTGGGGACTGCCCATGCATCGTGGTTTTACACTTGACAAGTGCTCTTTCTGATGTCATGTGTGGTTCTCAGGCTATTCCAGAGTAAAGGAAGGAGCCACCCCTGTTAGCAGATGAGAGAATGGAAGTTGAGGCAGAACGTCAGTCTAGATCATGCTTCTAGGTAAGAAGAAAATGTAGGGAAAGCTGAGTGCCAGTTGCTTATACCTGTGAGCCTAGCTACTTGGGAGCTGAGATTGGGGGGATCATGGTTCTAGCAGGGGCAGAAAGTTCCCAAGACCTCTTCTCAACTGCAAACTGGGAGCAGTGGCCCATGCCTGTCAACCTAGCTTTGTGGAAACCAGGAAGACTGTGATTCCAAGTGAACCCAGCAGAAGTCTTCAAGACTCCATCTGTCTCAGCAGAAGAAGAAGTCAACTACTTAAGATAATTTTTTTAACTTTGCTTAAGAAAAGAAGAAGAGGCTGGGAAGGTGGCTCAGCAATAGAGTGCATGAGGCCTTAGGTTTGATTCCTCAGCATCGCATAAACAGAAAAGGCTGGAAGTGGCACTATGGCTCAAGTGATAGAGCGCTAGCCTTGAGCTGAAGAGCCGAGGCAGAGCGCCCAGGCCCAGAGTTCTAGCCCCACAACTGATTAAAAGAGAAAAGAAAAGAACAACAACAACAATGAAGTTAATGAGTGGCAAACACCTATCCTCCCAGCTGTGACATAAAGTCTAAAATAGACAGGTCCAGGTCCAGGCACACACCCAGGCAGGAGACAAGACTCTGTCTCAAAATAACCAACACAGGCTGGGAAGGTAGCTCAGTGGTAGAGCGCTTGCCTTGCATGCACAAGGCCCTGAGTTCGATTCCTCCGCACCACATAATCAGAAAAGGCCAGAAGTGGCGCTGTGGCTCAAGTTGGTAAAGCGCTAGCCTTGAGCTGAAGAGCTGAGGGACAGCGCCCAGGCCCAGAGTTCAAGCCCCACCACCAACCAAAAAAAAAAAAAGATTGTTGAGACCAGAGTGATCTGTGCAGGCTTAAGAGATCTGAGTCCCTTGGTTCTCACGAGGAGATGGAGTGTTGTTGAAGATGTCATGAACTCTTTTCTGCTAGTACGGAGATGACATTTGCACCCTGGCGTTGGCACCACAGCTCCTGTTCCCTTTGGGCCTCCTCAGATGTGACCCTTGAAGCCTTTATGATAAGAAATGTTTCTAGGTCGCCTCTTGCTCCCTTTTTTTCCCCTCAAAATACCAGTTTCAACATCTTTATTTAACCTTTTCCACAGATGAGCGCTAGGTCAATGCAGTGTCATGCAGTCACACAGAGGTTAGGAGTTAGAGGTAGAAGATTGTTTTCTTACACGTGAGAGCGCTTCTGTCGAGCAGCAGCAGCACAGCGCCTGGCTGTGGAGGGCACGGTGTTGGCCTGCCCAGGCTTCTCGGTGCCACACATCCCAGGTGTCCCCACAGCTCTGGACACTCCAAGACCCAGGGGCCGGAAGAGTTCCCATTCAGCAAGGACTCCCTTCCTGGCTCCCTTTGGTCTTTCCTCTGAGAGAGTGCACGGGGTGGAAGCACCATATTTACCTTAATTGAATCCTAGGGCCCTGAGTTAGCTTCCCGTTGCTAGGACAAAATACCTGGGGAAAAAATTTAAGTTAAAAGAAGGAAGATTAGTTGGACATAATGATGCACACCTCTCATGTCAGGCTGATTCATGAAGCAGGAATATTGGGAGTTCTGACCTGGCCCAGGCCAAGTAAACAAACAAAAAAAAAAATGGGAAAAACAAAAAGAAGGAAAGAAAGGTCCCTGGTTTCTGTCCACAGTCTCCTGCTTCATCAGGCCACCAGTGAAGCAGAAGCTGTGGCAGATGTGGTAGGACAACTAGTTTTCGCTTCATGGTAGGAGGAAACAGGGAGAGGAAGGATCTGGAGGAAACAGACCCAGCTCTCCGACCCTGGCTTCCACCACCCGCTGGGGACCATGTGTAGCCACCAGGGAAGTGAATGAAAGTGGCACCATTGCCTGGCAGACCCCTAGCAGGACCCAGAAGCTGAAGAGCTTCCTAGCCACTGGACCACAGTGCACGGACACTTGGTGGACAGCAGCCTGACAGTGCACCACTCTCTTTACTAATGTTGTGACTGGGTTTCTAACAAATCCCCTACAAACGGGTGCTCCAGTCAGACTCCTGGAGAATCAGCAGGGGAGGGAGAAGGAAGGGAGCCCAGCCAGCCTCGCAGGCCCAGGCCACCTCCATTACCCAAGATTGTCTCCTTTTCTGAGTCAGCTGATGGTAGCTGCTTACAGCATCTCCACACCACCCTCGCAGCAACACCTTGTCTGTTTGCATGGTCGGGTACTGCAGCTTAGCTGGTTAGCACAAGATGAACCATCACACCTTTCCTTCTTAACTATTGCCCTTCACCATTGTCTGTGATGTCAAACCTCCTGCCCTTCCTGGGAAGGCTGGTCATTTCTGAAAGTTTTCATCTCAGACATAGTTGGCTTTAGGAGGGACATGCGGGGGTCCCCTTCACCCCTACTGAGCAGAGGGGGAAGAGAAGTTGCCTCCAGCAGTGTGTGGGCTCTTCCTTGTGGCAGTCTGTCCTTTGGGGCAGGTTACAGAGGGCAGCACGCCCGCTGTGGTGAGCCAGCCCTCCCTCGCTGTCTCCCAGCCAGCCCCAGTGCTCCCACATGCACTCTGCTTTCTGTGTATTACACGCTCTCTCCCAACTAACACCTGGCCCAGCATGCGACTCTTCCCCACAGCCCGCAATACACCTGTCTTTCTTCCAAATGTGCCCCTCAGCTCTGAGTGACTGGGGCGCTCCCACCCCCATGATCTGGCTTTCAGGAAAAGCCAACCCAGATCAAGAAAGCTAAAGACTCAATTCTGAGGCCGATGTCCATAGTTCACGCCTGTAATCCTAGCTATTTAGGAGGCTGAGATCTAAGGACTGAAGTTTAAAGCCAGCTTGGACATTAACCACCAGAAAACTGGAAGTGGCACTGTAGCTCAAAGGTGTAGAGCACTAGTCTTGAGCAAAAGAGCTCAGGGACTGCGCCCAGCCCCTGAGTTCAACCCCCAGGACTGACACACACAAAACTTGGTTCTCTTCATGCTCACGGCTCGGGAAGGAGCTGTGGCGCAGCTCGGTGGCTGGTGGTGACAGGCAGTTCTGCCCTTCTCTGCAAACTCTGGAAGGAGTGATGGCCCACCGGGCATGTGGCCTCTCCTTAGTCGCTGGTGGTTGAATCTATGAGTGTGCTGCCTGGAGAAGCCTTCCTGTCCCGGTCTCCTCTACCTGCTGAGGAAGCGCCCCTCTCCCCGTCAGGCTTCACCATTTGTCACCTGTTTTTGGCATTCTCAGAGGCTTGTGCACATGACTGGCTCACAGGAGGTCTCTGATCCTCAGAGGTTGGATACCAGTGAGAACCAGTCAGGCATCAAGGCTTAGGTTCCAGACTTTTTTTTTTTTTTTTGGTCAGTCATGGGGCCTGAACTCTGGGCCTGGGCGCTGTCCCTCAGCTCTTCAGCTCAAGGCTAGCACTCTACTACTTGAGCCACAGTACCACTTCCAGTTTTCTGGTGGTTTATTGGAGATACGAGTCTCACAGAGTTTCCTGCCCAGGCTGGCTTTGAACGGAGATTCTCATATCTCAGCCTCTTGAGTAGCTAGGATTACAGGTGTGAGCCACAAGACACCCAGCCAGACTTTTTTTCTTTATACTTATGTCTTAGGAACATTACTCCTATTTTACTAAAAGAATTTAAATTGTGGGCTGGGAATGTAGCTTAATGGTAGAGCGCTTGTCTAGCATGCATGAAGCCCTAGGTTCAATTCCTTAGTACCACATAAACAGATAAAGCCTGATGTGGGGCTGTGGCTCAAGTGATAGAATGTTAGCCTTGAGCAAACGATGCTAAGTAGCCGGGCGCCAGTGGCTCACGCCTGTAATCCTAGTTACTCAGGAGGCTGAGATCTGAGGATCGCAGTTCAAAGCCAGCTGGGGCAGGAAAGTCCATGAGATTCTTAGCTCCAAATGACCACCAGGAAACTAGAAATGGCGCTGTGTCTCAAGTGGTAGAGCGCTCGCCTTGAGCTGAAGAGCTGAGGGGACAGCGCCCAGGCCCAGAGTTCAGGCCCCATGACCAACAAAAAAAAAGTCAGAAGAGTAAGCCCGGTGCCAGTGGTTCACGCCTGAAATCCTAGCTACACAGGAGGCTGAGTTCTTAGTGTCACAGTTTGAAGCCATCTCAAGCACGGAAATCTGACTCATCTCCAGTTAACCAGCAGAAAGCCAGTAGCATATGCAGCACAAGTAGAGTACCAGCCTTGAGTGAAAGAGCTAAGGGATAGTGCCCAGGCCCAAGCTCAAGCCCCAGTACTGGCACAGTAAAGGAAGGGAGGGAGGGAGGGAGGGAGTCAAACACAAGACTTCGGTGATCGCCTGCCTGTGGGAAGTCTGTTTGCTGCTCTACTTTTGACCCAGGCTCCACTGTTTCTGAATCTTAAAAATAATGACCAGCCACTTCACGACAGGATGAAGACTGTTATTAGAATTATTACATATTTCTTTGTCAGACTTGAAGTGTCATGGTTGTAACCAGATAATATGTGGGTTTTAGTTTGCAGTTAACATGTTTCGGACCTTGCCACCCTCCTCCAATCCTACGGGAGCAGAATTCGACCCAGAGGAGGATGAGCCAACGTTAGAAGCAGCCTGGCCTCATCTTCAGGTACTGGACTCTCTGAGCCCCAAACAGGAGGTTGCGCACTTCATGGCTCTGTGAGCAGAGGTGTTGCCCAGAGCCTCCCTTCAGTGCTAGCCAGTAGACCTCTCATCTGAAGTCATCTCTGATCTAGTAATGTTTTAGCAAACCGTGTTTGTATTTAAATGCTTTTACACAAACTACAAAGATGTTAAATTGGGGTGTATCTCCGATGGCACTACCCACCTTGCAGATACCCACTAAATTGAGACCTGGAGGAGTTCGGCAGGTATGCTTCCGGTGTTCCTGGATTTAACCTATGTCCCTGCATACCCTGGGCTCCTTCAATACATCTGTACATGCCAGATAGACTAGAAGGCCCCCAGGCCAGTGTGGACAAAGCAAGGTCATGCATGCCAAGGCCTGGAGGGGATGGCAGGTCACCTGGAAGGGAAGCAGATAGTGGGACACACAGGGAAGGGAGGGTATCCTAGGAGCCAGATATTCTGCCTCACAGTGTCTAGCTTCTACACCTAGCTCGTGACAACCAGGCCATGGTGCCCAGTGCAGCCTAGTCACAAGGGGAGAAGCCAGTGACTACAGCTCATTGTCTGCATCTGTGCATTCTGCTCCACTGACAGCCGCTGAGTCCGGCTGCCTGGCTCTGAGTCTCAGCACTCACTCCAGATGCCCAGGCAACAGCCTGCCAGTCCCATGCTGGAGGCTGCTCCAGACTCAGGGCATGGCAGCTCTTCAGTGGGCTCTGGCAGTGATGTAAGCACTGGTGACATGGCCATGGAAAATGTTTTGCTCAATGGCTATTTAAAGCATAGTCTGTGACTCTCAATAAACAAAATAATTGCCATCACAGATTATAGTTAAGCCATACATTTCAACCTGGATTCAGTAGAGATGCTGCCCTTTAAGTATCTGTTATTTTCAAACACCCACAAAAATCACATCAAAGGGCATCTAAATCACCACTTAAAATACTACTGGGCTGGGAAAGTGGCTCAGTGGAAGAGTGCCTGCCTTGCATGCATGAGGCCCTGGGTTCGATTCCTCAGCACCACATAAGCAGAAAAAGCTGGAAGTGGTGCTGTGGCTTAAGTGGTAGAGCGCTAGCCTTGAGCTGAAGAGCTGAGGGACAGTGCCCAGGTCCAGAGTTCAAACCCCATGACTAGCAAAAAATAAATAAACAAATAAATAAAATAAAATACTGTTATTTGACTCATTGTTTTTTTTTTCTCCTAGCTTGTTTATGAATTTTTCTTAAGATTTTTAGAGTCTCCAGATTTCCAGCCTAATATCGCAAAGAAATATATTGACCAGAAGTTTGTACTGCAGGTAAGGCACGAGTTAGCTGTAACTGCAGGAGCTACAATCTGCAGAGCTGCAAAGTGGTCACTAAATGTCTTTTTCTTCTTGAAGCTTTTAGAGCTCTTTGACAGCGAGGATCCTCGGGAGAGAGATTTTCTAAAAACAACCCTTCACAGAATCTATGGAAAGTTCTTAGGCCTGAGAGCTTACATCCGAAAACAGATAAATAATATATTTTATAGGTAAGTCTCTGTGAGGTGATGTCTTTGTGCATGACGGTATTCACGTTCACACTCAGTGCCCCGTGTCTCCCTGCCGTGGGGCAAAGGGCAGTGGAGAGAGGTGGAGCAGCAGCATGCTAGAAGTCATGCACCAGTGGCAGACATACTGCACACCCCCTGGGCCTCCCTCCCCGGCCCCATACCTGGCCCCCTCTTGAGGCCTCCCACATCTCCCACAACCTCACTGTTCATGCTGATTTGGGACTTCCCTGGGAGCCTCTGGGTGCCCCGATGGCACTGAACCAGTGGTGTCCACACACCGCGCCCTTCCACCTGCACCATCTCTTCCCTCTCCAAGAATCTCAGTGAAGGTGACAGGGTGAGGAGCAAAGTAGCCTGACCTAGGAGGATCTATGAACTCAGGTGAGCAGTTCTGGGGGCTCTGGCTGGGCACAGGGCAGGAAACCTTGCCAGAGTGGCTTTCCAGTGCCATGCCCAGCCTGAAGCCTACAGGACCATGGGCTGTAACCTCGGATGCTGGCCTGTGAGCACTGAGCTTAGAAAGGCCCCACAGTGCTCAAGTGCGTGGTCCAACATCACTTCTGGCCTCATTGCTGACCAGGCCTCATTGTTTCTTAAGTCAGAGCCTCATGTGTACTAGGCAAGCACTCTAGCCCATGAGCCATGCTTCCAGCCCTCCTGTTTGTTTGTTTGTTTGAAACAGGGTCATGCTAACTTAGCCTGGGCTGGCCTCCAACTCCATATCCTCCTGCCTGTGCCTCCGAGATTTCATACCTGCACCAGCATGCTGGGTTCATTGATTCTCTCACCTGGCACCTCTGAGTCTCTTGACACCACAGATGGCTGCTGCTGTTGGGGTGGCAGGGCACCCTTTCTGATCCACCTCTGCTGTTGGGTGGCAGGGCACCCTTTCTGATCCGCCTCTGTGTACATCTAGGCTCTGCCACTTAAGGCTTCGTAGCTGTTTTGTCTTGCTCTAGCCCTGCCCTCCCCTCGGCCCATGAAGCTTTCCAAACGGTCCCCTTGCAGGGAAGCCACCCTACTCAGCTTGGCTCCCATCCCGCAAGGTGAGGTGCTCTCACACCCAGGACCAGCTTTGAGCACAGCCCACCATTGCATAGGATAGATGCTGTTGGAGAAAACAGTTCATGTAGTCTCCACCTGTGTCTGAAACACCAAGTGAGTATGTTCTGGTTTGGGCTTCTTGGATTGGCTTGCATCTCCATGATATCCAACTCCAACATGACCAAACAAAGGAGAGTTTCATATAGTCTCACTATAAGACCAGGCCTGGCCTTGCCTACAGAAGGGGCCTGAAGTGCCAGTCATGGCAGTACCTAGGCCTTCTGGCCTTCCCTAATCATAGTGGCTGAGCAAGAGCCAAGAACTGGGGAGCTGAATCAGACTCACCGAGCCCAGCATCCATTCCTCCTGGCCCTCCCAGTCCAGTGCACAGCCCAGTGGCTGCAGCCACTGAAATCTAACTCTGCTCCCACGTTGCCACCCAGGGACACATTTTGATGTTGGAGCATCTCAGTGTGTATGTGGCTACCTTTGAACTTCAAGCTCCCATGTCCATTTGCATAACAGAACTCAGGTTGAACATAACCCAGTCCTGACTCACCACCTGCATTGCAGGGAATGATGTCATTCCTCTAAATGTTCATTCCTGTTTTGCATCAGTATATGTGGGTGTGTATATACTGTGTGCGCCTGCAAGTGCCAACACCGGGGTTTGAACTCAGGGCCTCAAATTCGTGCATGGCTTTTTCACTCAAGGCTGGTGCTGTACCATTTGAGCCACACCTCTGCTCCCAGAGTTTTTTTATTGGTTAATTGGAGATAAGATTTATCTCCCCATGCTGGCTGTAAACCACTATCCTTACAGCTTAGCCTCCTGAATAGCTAGGATTACAGATATGAGCCACTGGTGTCTGGCTTTGTTTTGCATTTAAGTTTTTTAATCCTAAAATTAAGGCTTCTGGGCTGGGAAGGTGGCTCAGTGGTAGAGTGCCTGCCTCGCATGCATGAGGCCCTGGTTCGATTCCTCAGCACCACATAAGCAGAAAAAAGCCAAAGTGGTGCTGTGGCTCAAGTGGTAGGGCACTAGCCTTAAGCTGAAGAGCTGAGGAACAATGCGCAGACCTAGAGTTCAGCTCCCACAACCAACCCAAAACAAAAAAAGAAAAGGCTCCTGCTACAATCTTTTTGATTCTTCAACACTAGTAGATTTTGTTTAGACAACAGAACCATGAATCTGTTGAACACTATCAAAGAAATAGAAATGAGCCGATTGCGCTCAGGCACATAACCCTAGCTACACAGGAGGCTGAGATCTACGGATCATGGTTCAAAGCCAGCTGGGACAGAAAAGTCTGTGAAACTCGTATCTCCAATAAACCACCAGGAAAAAAAAAAAACAGAAGTGGTACTGTAGCTCAAGTGGTAGATCTCCCACCTTGAGCTGAAGAGTGCAGGGACAGCCACCCAGGCCCACAGTTCAAGACCCAGGACTGATTAAAAAAAAAAGACGTGGAAATGTCTCATATCTTAAGGGCCAGGGCATGGCTCAAGTGAAGTCTGTTTGCATAGCAAGAACAAGGCCCAAGCATACCTTTAGATTACTTAGTATGCTTTGGGTCTTCCCTTTGTGAGAAAACTAGCAAAACATCTTGAGTCTGTGTCCTCAGCTTATCTAAGTTCTATGCAATACAAATTGAACATTCCCAACCAAAAAAATCCCAAACCTAAAATCTAAAACTCCAAAGCTGGAAACTTTGAGCACTGGCATGGATGACACAAGGAGAAAACTTCGCATCTGACCTCATGTGACAGGTGACAGACACAGGCACAGCCACGCTTTGTGGCTTGTGCCTATAGTCCTAGCTACTAAGGAGGCTGGGCTGAGGGATTTCATGAGCCTAGGGATGAGAAGCCCAGCAAAAACCTGTCTCAAAAAAAAGTGGAGTTCAGTCTTCAATATGAAGGAAAAAAAAAAGTTTGCCAGGCACTGGTGGCTCACACCTGTTAATCTTAGCTACTTAAGAAGCTGAGATCTAAGCCAGTCTGGACAGGAAAACCCATGAAATTCTTATCTCTAATGAACCAGCAAAAACTGGAAGTAGAACTGTGATTCGAGTAGTAGAGCACCAGTGAAAAAGCTAAGGAACAGCACCCATCTGAGTTCAAGCCCCAGTGCACGCACTCACGCACACACACACACACACACACACAAGCTTAATTAAAAACCACAAGCACACTTGGGGCATATCCCCCCATATTATATTGGGGCATATTCTCTCATTATATATGTGCAAATATTCCAAAATCTAAAAAAAAAAAATCACAATCCCATATCTGGTCAGTCACAAACATTTTGAGTAAGGGATTCTCAGTCTGTAAAACTTTTATCTTTTTAGAATTTTCTAGATACTTGGTTCATCTTAGAATTTCTCATTCGAATCTGTTTATTGAATGTGAATCTTTTGGGTGACTCCTGAGGGTGTTTTGGCAAACCTGGAGATGTGGTTTCAGAGCAGTCACAGGTCTGCTCCTGCTCTTGCTGCACTGATCCACAGACCTTTGGCCTCCATCACCATCCATTGATCCTCTCAGTTGTGTGTCCAGAGTGAACTCAGCAGAAATGGTGTGGCGTCTTCAAGGGCTGTAAATGTCCAAGGTCACTTCTCATTTGTGCCTGGTGGCTCCTGAGCTGGCTGGCGCAGCAGGCTGCTGCCCACCCCACTCCTGCAGCCTGCAGCAGGCTGCTGCCCACCCCACTCCTGCAGCCTGCAGCAGGCTGCTGCCCACCCCACGCCTGCAGCCTGCAGCAGGCTGCTGCCCACCCCACTCCTGCAGCCTGCAGCAGGCTGCTGCCCACCCCACTCCTGCAGCCTGCAGCAGTGCTCCCGCTGCCTCCAAAAGGGAAGTGGCAGAGCTGCCAGTCCTCTGGAGGGCTTGGCTTGGAACTGCTGGACAGCCCAGCTTCACAGGAAAGAAGCAGCGCCCCACCTCTTGAGGTGAGCTACAGAAGACATCACACAGGGAGGTGTCCATCTTGAGCAGCAGGCTCAGTCCAGGTTTCCGAAGGGCCAGTTCCTTTTCTGCTAAAGTTAGAAATACTCTAGCTTGCTCCTGTCTTCCTCCTCATTTTCTCTTTCTTACACCTACTTCAGATCAGATCAAAGTAATTAGAAATTAAGAGTGTTGATTTGGAAAGCCAAATGGCTTGTGCCCGACTGCTGGCCTTAGGTAGCCCTGAGCGCAGTGGGATGATGGGAGATCACAGCCACACGGCTGTACCAGCCATCCTCAGCATTATGGATAAACATGTGAAGTTTGAGTTGAGTTTGATAAATTCAGTCACTTTTCCTTGTGGACACAACTGATTTCACTTAGTGGAGTTCTGGCTTGGGGCAGGTGTAGAAAAAGACTGGCAGGAAGCAGATTCAACAAGGACCCTGTTGTGTACCCACCTCCAGTTCTCATAATACCTGCCCCACTTGGAGGTGACAGATGGCCAAGAGCACATCGCATCTGCCTTTTGAGGCCCAGTGCTCCCAATCCTGTGAGGCTGTTTCTCGGTTTATCAAGAACCTCAAAACGGGCTGGGAATGTGGCTTAGTGGTAGAGTGCTTGTCTAGCATGCATGAAGCCCTGAGTTCGATTCCTCAGTACCACATGATCAGAAAAAGCCAAAAGTGGCACTGTGGCTCAAGTGATAGAGTGCTAGCCCAGACCCTGAGTTTAAGTCCCAGGACTGGGGGGGAAAAAAACTCAAAACCTGTCCACACACCTGTCTTGCCCAACTGGCGACTTTGTCCTGTCTCTTCTGTGTAAGTCTGGTGGAAACCCTCCTTCAGGGCAGGGCAGCAGCAGCCCCTCAGGGAGTTTTTTGACCACCAGGCAATTGTGGCTATTTGGGAATACAGAAACATCTAGATCCAGCCCTCTGTGTAGACTCTGCCTCTGTGATGTCTACCTGTTCTTTATCTTGGGTCACTTGCATAGTTGTTTCAAACAAGAAGCTGGACGCCAGTGGCTCACACCTGTAATCCTAGCTACTCAGGAGGCTAATGTCTGAGGATCATGGTTCAAAGCCAGCCCGGGCAGAAAAGTCCATGAGACTCTTATGTCCAATAAACCACTAGAAAACCAGAAGAGTGCTGTGGCTCAAGCGGTAGAGCACTCACCTTGAGCTGAAGAGCTGAGGGACAGTGCCCAGGCCCAGAGTTCAAGCCCCACAACCAACAGAAAAAAAAGGGATGATCAAACAAGAACAGTTCAATTTTAGGACATTTTAGTCTTCATAGGCGTCTTTCCTGCTTAGAGCTGTCTCCAAATGTAAAGCTTCATCTTATAGGCAGACTCCCAACCTCCCACTGCTCACAGAAGGCGTCTGTGCATGTTGGTGACCAACACCCGGTGAGCCTGGATGGGGCAAGAGCAGATTATCTGTTTGTGAGGAAAATTCTTGGGGGAAGGACTTTTTTCCCCCCACCCAAAACCTTCCCCCCTCTCTCTTTTGTCAGTTACGCTGCTTGAACTCAGCCTGGGCACTGTCCTTGAGCTCTTCAGCTCAAAGCCAGTGCTCTACCACTTGAGCCATGGTGCCTCTTCCAGTTTTCTAGTGTTTAATTGGAGATAACAGTCTCACACACTTTTCTGCCCCAGCTGGCTTTGAACTGCGATCTTCAGATCTCAGGCTCCTGAGTAGCTAGGATTACGGTGCCCAGCAAGGACATTCTCTTGTTTTCTGAAATGTTCCTGTTGCTTCTGTGTCCTCAGTTCATTTAGCAAATGCATTGTAAGCATCTGACAGATGCCAGACTCAGTTCTAGCACCAGGAACACAGAAGAAGTCCTTGTCCTCGTCTGGGAGGAGACAAGCAGATGCAGAGGGTGGGCTACATAGTTCCCTAGAGCATGTGCAGGGGCACAGTGGCGGAGACTGCGCAGAATACAGGAGCCAAGCCACAGCCGACTGACACTGTGGGAAGATGTCAGTGGATGTAGGTGACATAGTCACAAAGTACTACAGGAAGAGCTACTCCCCTTTGTGGACACTGTGCTTAAAAACTGCATAAGACATCCTCTGATGTTGAAATAAGCAAATATGAGATGAATTAGTGCATGGATAGGTATAAATGGGATGAAACAGATAGTTAATGATTGAATCTGCATATTTGAAATAAGGGGTTTGCTATAAAAATTCTTCCCCATAATTGAATGGGGGGGGGCCTGATGGACCTGAACTCTGGGCCTGGGCGCTGTCCCTCAGCTCTTCAGCTCTAGGCTACCCTCTACCACTTGAGCCACAGCACCACTCTGGTTTTCTGGTCGTTCATTGGAGATAAGAGTCTCATGGACTTTCCTGCCCAGGCTGGCTTTGAACCGCAATTTTCAGATCTCAGCCTTGTGAGTAGCTAGGATGACAGGCGTGAGCCACCGACGCCCAGTTTTGAAATTTTTTAAAATAAAATCCAGGGAAGAAATTTGAGCAAGACAAGCTCTCTGCCCTCAAGGCATTTCCATCTCCAGGCTTTGACAAGCTCTTGGGCTCCTGAAGACTCCACAGGCAGGGAGGTGAGAGGGCTGCAGCGCCTCGCCCGGCTGCCTCCCGCAGGCTTTGTTTTCCTACTATTTCTAACTATTACCTCAGGTTCTGACTCTGATTGTTCTCTCTAGGTTTATTTATGAAACAGAGCATCATAATGGCATAGCAGAATTACTGGAAATATTGGGAAGGTAAGTCTAGCAGTGAATGGACCAAGGAATTTATGCTAGAATGATCCCACTCTCTCTCCCTAGGGCAAGTAATTTAAATCATTCTCTAAAAGAAAGATGATAGAATTTCACCTAAGGAGAAGGTTGGTGAGCTTTTGAAGTAGAACACACCAAATGACAAATCTCGTTTTTATGATTTTTTAATTTTAAGTTGATCCCACTTCACATAGCTCAGTGCCGTTACCATGGAAACTATGGAACTTCAGTTGCTTCCTCAAGAACAGTGTCTTAGAACTGCAATCCTAGCTACTTAGGAGGCTGAGATCTAAAGATTGCAGTTCAAAGCCCAGGCTGGACAGGAAAGACCATGAAACTTCTATCTCCAATTAACCAACAAAAAGCCAAATATGAAGCTTTAACTTAAGTGGTAGAGAGCTAGCCTTGAGCACAAAAGCTCAGGTACAGTGCCCAGACCCTGAGTTCAAGCTCTAGTACCACACATATACACATACACACACACAAAAATGGTTACATAAGAAGTTTGATCCTAGAAACTCAGAAGGTAGATTATACCTTTGAGGTATTAAATAAATACTAATATTTAATATTTCTTTGATTTTACTGTTTTTAGTATTTAATGATAATTGACATTTTCCCAAGATTTTATCATTTTAATCCAAGTAGCCCTCATAACCCACTCCTCCTGAGATCCCCTCAGGGCTGGAGTGACAAAGCCGAGGAGGGCTTTTCTCCCGTGGGGATGAGGTGTGCGTTAGCAGTGCTGCAGGCTGCAGAGGAGCCATTGCAGTGAAGAAACCCAGGTCTTTGGACTGAGCCTGCTGGTTCCCCACAGCACTAAACAGAGTCTGGTCTCAACAGACACTATTGTCTGGTGGGCCACATTCTGCCCAAGAGTTCCAAGAAAGACCACCCCTGCTGCCTTAATGTAATTTGAAAGGCATCATCCTCAGAGATACCTGCTTAGGCTACTTTTGATACACTAGGACAAAGCTATCCCTCAATGCATGGCATAGTCGGGGGTGGAGAGGGAGGACCTTCCCAGTTACATGACCTTGGGCAAGTCAAATGGGAAGGATAATTGTATTTGCTATCTCAGCTGACCGGGTGGCACAAGCTGCAAAAGATGTAAATACTACATGCTGTCCCACTGCCTCGGCCTGCTTTTTTTTTTTTTCTTTTTTTCTTTTTTGGCTGGTTCTGAAGTTGAACTCAGGGCCTGGGCGCTGTCCCTGAGCCTCTTTATGCTCAAGACTAGCACTCTTACACTTGAGCCACAGCACCACTTCCAGCTTTTCCTGAGTAGCTTATTGAAGCTAAGAGTCTCAGCCAGGTACTGGTGGCTCACACCTATAATCCTAGCTACTCAGGAAGCTGAGATCTGAGGGTCACAGTTCAAAGCCAGCCTGGACAGGAAAGTCTGAAACTCACCACCAAAAAGCTGGAGTTGTGGCTTAAGTAGTAGAATATAAGCCTTAACAAAAAAAGCTCAGGGACCACATCTAAGCCCTGAGTTCAAGCCCCACAATGACAAAAAAAAAAAATTTACAAACTTTGCTGCTCAGGCTGGCTTCAAACTATGTGGTCCTCAGATCTCAGCCTTCTAGCTGCCTCGGGCTGCCTGCTACCAAATCAAGTCGCACAAACCTTGAACTTCAAGATTATCTTGCAATGACAAAGATTACAACAGCTATGCTTTCTCAAAATCATTTGGGGTTTTTTTCCTTTTGATATACTCCCTTTTTCTGAAATATTTTGCATACTGGCTCATTATGAAGAAAACAAAGAATGAGAAGGTATTTGGTTTTAATCTGGAATTTGCAAATGCTAAGTTGAATAAATTGTCTCTTCAACAGTATAATTAATGGATTTGCCTTACCACTCAAAGAAGAGCACAAGATTTTCTTATTGAAGGTGTTACTACCTTTGCACAAAGTGAAATCCCTGAGTGTCTACCATCCCCAGGTAAGGCATCTTCACGACACAGGATGGGTGGGGGCCCAGCTGCCCAGCAGTGTCTCCCTATCACAGTGGTGACATCAGGAGCAGAAGTGGGGCAAGAGATTCCTCTTGAGAAACTGAGGGAGGCTCTGGAATCAAGAACTGTACAGATAATTTGAGGTAGAGATGGGAGGAGCCGACTAAAAGGATGACTCCAGGGAGGGAAGCTTTCCGCAGTGTGCTCTGAAACTGTGGACCTGGGGTACAGAAACCAGTAGACCAAAGAGGGGAGGGCACCAGGAAGGGGTTTTTTTAAGTGAAAGAGGCTAACTGTAGTTATACTGGAAAATTGAGTGGCTCCTGATGAGTTTGTTGGCTGTCCCTAGATTTGGATGACCCACACTTGTCCCTGACACTGAGCCGCAACCATCCCAGCACCCTGAAGCCTTAGGAAGGCTCCTCCTCGGTGGTACCCTTGGAGGCCACTGGGCCACACACGGAAGGAACCCTGTTCTGCCAGGAAAAAAAAAAGTATATTCTCCAGTTGATTCAGAAGGCATTGGCTTCCTGGGAAATAACTCATTTTCTGTGGCTGCTATTAACTAAGTGCTGTACAAAAGAAATTAATAATTCAGAGATTTCAGATGGAAACTGATTTCAATGTTTCCCCCAGCTATTAGATTACTTGTTCATTCTGATCTCGAAAAGGACCGCAAGAAAAACCCCACCACACTAGGTTGACTTGGTGGCGCTTAGTCTAAAAGATGTTTCCTGGTTTGTTTTGGTACCAATTAATGGAGAAAGAGTGGTATATTGAGCATCAGTCCCGGGTTCCTTCCTGAGAAGCCCTTGGGAGGGCCTCCTTGGACTCAGTAGGCTCAGGCCTGGTAGGCCTTTGTCTTGCCACGGGACAGTGTTTAATGGTGGTTCTAGAAGGAACACGGCTGCATTTCCATATTGAAGTGAAACGTTAACACTCTTCTATCACTTTTCAGCTGGCGTACTGTGTCGTGCAGTTTTTAGAAAAGGACAGCACCCTCACCGAGCCAGTAAGTGCTCTGTCTGTGGTCCTGACTGCCTGTGCCTTCTTCACATCTGTGACTATGGCTACATGTCTGCTGCTCACACAGCATTTTCGTCTTCAGTTGCAGTGTTGATCAGCAGGCTAATCGCACTTCTGTGCAGAGGTTTACAAAGGGTGGTAGTTGTCATTACAAAATCTTTATGTGATGAGCTTGTCCCTGGCCCAGTCACAGAACACTGAGCCCCTAAGAGGTTCAGTCGCCATGTCATATGCTAATCTCTGAGTCCGACGCTCTACCAGGACCTAAAGAGCACACCTCTCACCTCCCAGATGTCAGCCCTCCCTTCCTGTCAACCTCACTTCCTGTCTCCTCTTTTTCAGGTGGTAATGGCACTTCTCAAATACTGGCCAAAGACTCACAGTCCAAAAGAAGTAATGTTCTTAAATGAACTTGAGGAGATTCTAGATGTAATTGAACCGTCGGAATTTGTGAAGATCATGGAGCCCCTTTTCCGGCAGTTAGCCAAATGTGTCTCCAGCCCGCACTTCCAGGTAGATGGCTTGGGGGGCGATTGCTCGATTATTTCAGAATATTCATTTTGGAAATGAAAGTTTCAGTGCATGGTTTGCTTCTCACAATTTAGAGTTAAAATTCAAGTTTTTACTTCAGTTATGCTTCAAAATAAGCTGTTAAAACTTTAATTCTATAAAACATAGTTTCATATCCTGTTCTCATCACTGAAAACATTTTTCTTCACAGGAGTGATTAGAAGTGGTTTTTCTATACACTTTTTTCTGTTCAAGTCCAGTATGGACACAGCCTTATTTTTCACAACTGAGTTATCGATATTTTTTGTGTGGCAGTCCTGGAGCCTTAGTGCTGTCCCTTAGCTTTTTTTTTTCCGCCCGGTCAGTCATGGGGCTTGAACTCTGAGCCTGGGCACTGTCCCTCAGCTCTTCAGCTCAAGGCTAGCACACTACCACTTGAGCCACAGCACCACTTCCGGCCTTTTCTGCTTATGTGGTGCTGAGGAATCGAACCCAGGGCCTCATGCATGCAAGGCAAGCGCTCTACCACTGAGCCACCTTCCCAGCCCTTGTCCCTTAGCTTTTTCACTCAAGGCTGGTGCTCCAGCACTTGAATCACAACTCCATTTCTGGGTTTTTGGGCCTTTAATTGGAGGTAATAATCTCATGGAGTTTCCTGCCCAGGCTGGCTTCAAACTGTGATCCTCATATCTCAGCTTTTTCTCAGTAGCTAGGACTATAGGCGTAAGCCACTATGCCTGGCTTTGAGTTATCAGAATTTAGGTGATGATAAAAACCCCTAGTTCTATATCTGGGTGCCCATAGCTCACACCTGTAATCTTAGCTATTCAGGAGACTGCGTCTGTGGATGACAGTTCAAAGCCAGACCAGGCAGGAAAGTCCATGAGACTCTGATCTCCATTTAACCACCAGAAAACCAGAAGTTAGTTCTGTGGCTCAAGTTTTAGAGCACTAGCCTAGAGCTGAAGAGCTGAGGGACATCACCCAGGCCCACGTTCAAGCCCCATGACTGACAAAAAAAAAAAAAAAAACACTCTAGGTTTGAAAAATTGTTTTCATAAAGTCTTCTGACATAAATCTCTCTCTAAAGTTTTTTTAAATGCTTTAAAAAAATTAGTATTTTCCAGCTGGGCATCAGTGGCTCACACCTGTAATCCTAGCTACTCAGGAGGCTGAGATCTGAAGATCATGATTCAAAGCCAGCACTGGCAGGAGTGTCCATGAGACTCTTATCTCCAATAAACCACCAAAAAACCAAAAGTGGCGCTGTGGCCCAAGTGGTAGAACACTAGCCTTTGAGCTGAAGAGCTGAGGGACAGTGCCCAGCAGAGTTCAAGCATCATAACTGACCAAAAAAAAAAAAAAATTAGTATTTTAAAAACGAGTGTGGTGGTGCACACCTATAATCCTAGCACCCTGGTGGGTGAGACAAGAGAATCACAAGTCCAAGTCCAGAATAAGCTTCATAGTAAGATCCTTTCTCAAAAACCAGTGTGTGGGCTGGGAATGTGACTTAGTGATAAAGTGCTTGCCTAACATGCATGAAGCCCTGGGTTCAATTCCTCGATACCAAATAAACAGAAAAGGCCTAACGTGGTACTGTAGCTCAGGTTCTAGAGGGCTAGCCTTGGGGCTGGGAAGGTGGCTCAGTGGTAGAGCGCTTGCCTTGCATGCCTGAGGCCCTGGGTTCAATTCCTCAGCACCACATAAGCAAAAAGGAAAAAAGCTGGACGTGGCACTGTAGCTCAAGTGGTAGAGCGCTAACCTTGAGCTGAAGAGCTGAGGGACAGCGCCCAGGCCCAGAGTTCAGGCCCCACAACTGGACCCAAAAAAAAAAAAAAATAGAGGGCTAGCCTTGACCAAAATAAACTCAGGGACAGTGCCCAGGACCTGAGTTCAAGTCCTAGGACTGGTTTAAAAAAAAACAACTGACAACTCTGTGTGTGTGTGTGTGTGTGCGTGCGTGAGCACACGCACGCACACGCACATGTATTTCTGCCTTTTCTCCCTACCATAGTCCCATGCAAGAGGGCAGTATTGAGCCACTAGCCTCCATCCTCTCACGACATGGAGCAGATATGGATGGTATGTTTCCATAAGCAGAGTAGAAATCTAGACAGGCAAAGCGCTTGCCTAGCAAGTGCAGCATACTGGGTTCAATCCCCAGTACCAAAAAAGAAAGAGACAACAAAGAAAAAAAGAGAGAGAGAGAGAAGAGACCCATAGACTTTGCTGCCCAGGCTGGCTTTGAACTGTGATCCTCACTTCTCAGCCTCCTGAGTAGCTAGGATTATAGACAAGAGCCACCAGTGCCCAGCCTTGTTAATGTTGTTTTTGTCTTTTTAACTCATGATCTATGTTGTCCTGTGTGCCCTTCTCTTCTGTTTCAACAAGTTCACCCCTATTCTGCAAAGCTCAGCTCCTCCCATCCTGTGATTCCTGAGCCCTCCTCGCCCTCTCCTGCCATCCTCTCTGCTGCTGCCCACCCTGCCACATTATGATCTTAGAATCTCTAGGTTTCTGGTGGCAGAAATGTCACCACTCCTCTGTGCTAAGTGTGTGAGGGCCACTGCTAGGCTGTACATATCCTAGTGGCTGTATGAACTTTCATCTGGTTCTGCAGAAAGCACAGAGATGTGCCAGGTGCCTGTGGAGAGAGACAGCAGGGGTGGAAGGATGCGTGTACTCATAATAGCCTTTCAGCTTTGTGTGTTGGAAACATAGAGCAGGTGGGAGCCCTCCTTTGGCTTCCCAACTCATCCAAAGTAGGACCAGTCCATGGACCCTGGGCTGGGGCCATGCCTCAGTTCCTCTTGGCAATCCTCTGGCTGCTCCCTGCTGTCCTCCTTTCTCAGGATTCCCTGCATGCCCCCGCCTGTCCCCCCTACCCTGCCCCCCCCCGGCACCTCCACTACCTGCCCACTGCTCCTTGAGCCCTCTACAACTTTATCACTTGTAGTAAATCAGGAAATCACCCATCCTTGGTTCTTCCTTCAGAAGCCACTACAAGTAAATATGTCTGCCCACGCCCCCGCCCCCTGCTCTCTGTACACGCATTGCTGAGTATGCATCACACACTAGATAACTAGTAAATACAGGACATGGGGGATGAGTGAGTGAGTAGGAAAATGAGTGAATGGCCAGGCGCTGGTGGCTCACACCTGTAATCCCAGCTACTTAGGAGGCTGAGATCTGAGGATCTCAGTTCAAAGCCAGCCCAGGCAAGAAAGTCCTTGAGACTCTGATCTCTAATTAACCACCAGAAAACCAAAAGGGTGCTGTGGCTCAAGTGGTAGAGCACTAGCCTAGGCTAAAGAGCTCAGGGACAGTGACCCGGTCCAGTGTTCAAGCTCCATAACCGACAAAATTTAAAAAAAGGAAAATGAGTGGATAATGAATGGATGGGTAAGTGAGTTCAAGGGAGGACTGGAAGAAACGTCTTTGACTCATGTTACCATCAGGTGGCTGATATCTAGGATAAATGTGCATGGAGTGAATGGAGAATCAAATGCTGATGTTCTAGATCTGTTAATGTGTATGATATCATCTGCCGTGCACTGGTGGATCACATTTGTAATCCTAGCTACTTACGAAGCTGAAATCTGAGGATCATGGTTCTAAGCCATCCGGGTCAGAAAAGTCCCCATGAGACTCCAGTTAACCACCAAAAACTGGAAGTGGAGCAGTCACTCAAAGTGGGAGCACTAGCCTTGAGCAACAAAGTGCTCAGGGAGAGTGCCCAAGCCCTGAGTTCAAGCCCCACGACTGGCAAAAATTTAAGATGGCTGGGAAGGTGGCTCAGTGGTAGCATGCTTGCCTTGCATGCATGAAGCCCTGCGTTCAATTCCTCAGCACCACATAAGCAGAAAAAGCCAGAAGTGGTGCTGTGGCTCAAGTAGTAGAGTGCTAGACTTGAGCTGAAGAGCTGAGGGACAGTGCCCAGGCCCAGAGTTCAGGTCCCATGACTGACAAAAAAATAATAATAATAATTAAAAATAAAATCATCTGTTAGCTCTTTGTTGAAGACTCTTCAAGTCTGTAATCTAGAACGCTTTGAATTCATAGAAGTAACTAGTGCTCTGACCTGGCCAGGAGGCTGCGTGGTGTCTGTGAGCACACTCACCAACACCGCTGTGCGTTTGTTTCTCCAGGTGGCAGAGCGGGCGCTGTACTACTGGAACAACGAGTACATCATGAGTCTGATCAGTGACAACGCGGCCAGGATCCTGCCCATCATGTTCCCGTCCCTGTACCGCAACTCAAAGACCCACTGGAACAAGTAAGAAAGAACAGGCCTGGGGCCGGGAAGGAGCCTCAGCGGTAGAGTCCTTGCCTTGCAAAGGTTAGGTTCCTCAGCACCACGTAAGCAGAAAAAGCCGGAAAGTGGCGCTGTGGCTCAAGTGGCAGAGTGCTGCGCCTTGAGCTGAAGAGCTGAGGGACGGCGCCCAGGCCCAGAGTTCAGGCCCCACGACCGACAAAAAAAAAAGAACAGGCACCCATCTTTCCTTGTCATTGGTCAGTGATGCATATCTTCTTGTTATTGCAACTAGAATTGCAATCCAAATTTTACTATCAGTTTAGAATTAATGTTTCATGGACTTTGCTTCCAAGGCTGATTTTGAACCATGATCCTCTGATTTCAGCCTTCTTAGCAGCTAGTATTATAAGCACCAATGTCTAGCTGGCTTGGTGACTTTTTTGTTTTAATTGTGTTTTTATTTGTTTTTTTGTGTGTGTCACTCGTGGGGTTCTAACTAAGGGCCTGGGCCAGGAGGTAGCTACTCAGGAGGCTGACATCTGAAATCAAATCCAGCCCAAGCAGGAAAGTCTATTAAACTCTTTATGTCCATAAACTACTCAAAAAAATGCTGGAAGGGCTGGGAAGGTGGCTCAGTGGTAGAGCGCTTGCCTTGCATGCGTGAGGCCCTGGGTTCGATTCCTCAGCACCACATAAGCAAAAAGAAAAAAGCTGGAAGTGGTGCTGGGCTGAAGAGCTGAGGGACAGCGCCCAGGCCCAGAGTACAGGCCCCACAACCGGACCCAAAAAAAAAAAAAAAAAATGCTGGAAGTAGAGTTATGGCTCAAGTGGTAGAATGCTAGCCTTGAATAAAAGAAGCTGAGGAACAGCACCCAGGCTCTGAGTTCAAGCCCCAAGACCAGTACCCCCCAAAAAGCATAGAATCTGGCCACCATTGGCCCACATCTATAATCATAGCTACTCAGAAGGCTAAGACCTGAGGATCACAATTCAAAGCCAGCTGGGCAGAAAATTCCTCAAGACTCTTATCTCCAATGAGCCAGAAAAAAGCTAGAAGTAGAAGTATGTCTCAAGTGGTAGAGCACCAGCCATAGGCAAAAAAAAAAAAAAAAGTGAGCTGGGACCCTGTGGCTCACACCTGTAATCCCAGCTATTCAAGAGGCTGAAATCTGAGGATCATAGTTCAAAGCCAGCCTGGACAGGAAACTCCATGAGACTCTTATCTCCAATAAACTACTCAAAAAAGCCAGAGGTGGTAGAGCACTCACCTTGAGCAAAAGAAGCTCAGAGACAGCACCCAAGCCCAGAGTTCAAGCCCTAAAACTAACACACGTACACACACAAGAAAGGAAAGAAGGGAGGGATATAAGTAAGGAGGGAGGGAGAGAAGGAAGTAGACACTGGGTGAAAACTAGCAGGCTTTTCATGTTAAATCCTCATAAACTTGTGGCAGAGCCTCTGGTTGGAGAGGAAGGAAGGATTGGTGTGGCAGAGGAAGGAGAGAGGGTGGTCCAGTGTAGAGTTTCACTGTAATGTTTCCTTGGTAGGACCATACATGGCCTGATATACAATGCCCTGAAACTCTTCATGGAAATGAACCAGAAGCTCTTTGACGACTGTACTCAACAGTTCAAAGCAGAGAAACTAAAGTAAGTTGCTCCTTGCACACGTGGCTGTTTATAGGATATTTTTTCTTAATCCTAAATTGTTTTGTCCTCAATTGTTCTAAACCTTAAAGCAATGACAGACCTCTCACAGGTGTTGAAAGTCAGCTCTCTTCACCCTGATACTAGTTTAGTCACTCTTGGGATGCGGTATGGTTAGGAAACTAGCCTGCAGGACAGCTGCTTTTCTCTGGGGACACATTGAGGCTGCTCTGGATAGTAATTTATCATGTGTGTAAAGAAAAATTTTAATTACATCCTAAAGGGTTTATGTAAAAGAGCAAGAATCCGCCTTGTAGCATAGCTTTATTCTGACTGACTGTTCTCCATACTCTCAGGGATCTAGGCCATCTCTGGAAAAACCAAGATGCTGCCTTTGTGCGTTTGGGAACTTCAGAGCCCACATTTGCCCAGTGTTAGTCTAGGTGGTAAAACATTGTGTCCCTCAGCTGCACACATAATCGTGTGATTGCTCATGGAAGTCACTCTTCAGCCTGGCCTGGTGTGTCGTGGCTATAAGCCCAGCTGGGCAGGAAGCATAGGTAGATTAGCCTAGGCAGCCTGGACAAAAAAGCACAAAAGACCCTGTCTGAAAAATAACCTAAAACGAAAAAGAAAAGAGGCACCGCTCAAGTGTTAGAGTGCCAGCCTAGCAAGTCTACAGGCCCTGAGTTCAGACCCAAGTTTCCCCACAGTACCGCCCAGTATGGGCTGCTAGCAGATTTTGCTCTTTGCTTGTCACTTAAAACTATCTAGGGTATAACTTGGAATGGATAGAATCCAGACTACAAGGTATCTACATGGCCACCCATCATTTAGTCATTCTTGAGATAAACGTGCATTTCTGCATACCAACTCTGCTTTAGTTTTTTTTTTATTTTTTTATTATTATCTTTAAGTAGTTGTACAAAGACGTTCCCATTCTACAAAACAGTATATGAATACGAGGTGTCTGACAACATTGTCACCCATCTCTCCTAACCCGTCCTGCTTTAGCTTTGTGAAGGCTACAGAAGCAAACAAAACAAAAATCCTCACCAGAAGGCTGATACTTTACCTAAAATGGTCAAGAACAAAATACGACTCAGCGAAAGGCAGAATGTGTGAGACAGTGGCAGGGCCACAGGAGGGCCGGTGGTGTGTGCTCTCCCGCACTGCGGCGTGCAGCGCCAAGCATGGGGCTGCCCCCAGGCCCTCCTCCTGCCGCAGAGTCACAGTGCTGAGAGGCACCAACGCATTTGAGGGATTATAAAAAGCAGGGGCCGAACTCAATGACTTCCTGAAGGTCTTGTGGCTCTAAGGGTAGAATCGGACAACCTTGTTCTCTGGCTCCGTCCACTCTGGCTCCTTCACTCCATGCTAATCTTGTCCTTTGTTGAATAAATAAGCTCCACACCAAAGTAGTGGGTCCTATGGAGAGATAACCAGTCAAGATGGAAACATAAGATTTACCACTTCCTTATCTAAGACTTTTTTTAATTAAAATTTTTGTTAAATATTTAGCATTCTACCGCGCGCACGCGTGTGTGTGTGTGTGTGTGTGTGTGTGTGTGGTGGAGTTTGAACTTGAGGTCTTGTGGCACTCTACCACTTGAGCCATGCCCTCAACCCACCTTTTTTCAGTATTTTCCTCTAAACTCTCAGCTAGTCTTCACATTACAACATGCAGCATGAGCAGCACCAGGAGGTGTGTGGAAGGAGATTGTGAAGGACCAGAGAAAGAGATGTGGGCTCATCTCAGCATTTCTACAAATGTGACTTTTCTCTAATTCAGATGACATTTTGCTATTTTTCAGAGAGAAGCTAAAGATGAAAGAGCGAGAAGAAGCATGGGTTAAAATAGAAAATCTAGCCAAAGCGAATCCCCAGGTACTAAAAAAAAGACTAATGTGAAAGTGTGCAGGTATTACTGACCTCTGTAGGACAGGGGCATGGCGTCGCCAGGGAGGGGAAATCAATTTTACTAACATTGTACATGGAAATGTCTGCAATAAATACTTTTCAACTTTGTAACCTTCCTCTTGTATAAGTACTTATTTTGCCCCAAACCATTTTTACCACAGGATTTACTTTTTTTTCCTCTTCTTTGTAAATAAGAAATGAATCTTATTACTATACTGTGGTAAAAATAAAATGAGGATTTAACTTCTGCTCTAAGATTATGATTTGCTTTTCCACTTAAGTGTCAAGCTTAAGCTATGTTTCCCTTTCTTTTAAATATTGAATTAATTTCTTTTAAAAGAAAGAAAAATTGACTTGCAGTAGGTGACGTGTGAATGAAGTAATGTCATTGTGTTTCTGTGGCCTCAGCCTTTCATGCTAAGGACTAATGAATTCTACCCTGTCCGCACTGACAGGGAGCAGTGAGCCCTGCACAATGTCTGCATGGAGTGGTGGACCTCCAGGACCTCCTACAGTATTGTCTCCGGCTGGCTCCAAGGCCACCATGGTCCTTTGATTTTGCATCCACTGGGCTTGCTAGTAGAACAGTAGCACAAATATGTCTTCTGATGGCCGCAGGACCTCTCTGAAAAGCATTGTCTGAATCTTTGCCACACTAGAATTCACAAGCTTCTTTCTCTCAGTTCCCCAGGAAAGAAAGTGTTTTACTAAACCATGTGGTTCTTTTAGTGAGAGATGTACCTAAAAAGTTAATGTCCAAGGCTTGACGCGTCAGTTCTTAATAGTAAAAAGCAAAACATAAGCATAAACTTAACAGTATGAATGTTATCTGTGCAACCACATCCTGGCCTGTATCTCTTGGATAAAACTGCAATTAAGAGACTTAAAACCATAAAACCATAGGGAGTGTGAATGACTCTCATTTGTGTATCCTTGATTTCGCCAAGAACTGGTAGTCAATATTTTTGGGAAGAACTTGGTGTTGGAGGTGTGGCTCGGGTGGTAGAGCACCAGCTAATGAGCAAAAGCATCAGATACTGAGTGAGTCCTGGTCCTGGTCAAAAAAAGTACTTATCCATGCTCTTGTGTAGACGGACGGAGTAGCCAGGTAAAAATCCTGGTACTTGTTTTAATATGTGGTAACACCATAATCCTGTGGCAGATTTAGGTGGTTTGGCGCTGTCTAACATTGCCCTAGGGGTCAGCTTTCTTTTAAGTTGTAGACAGATGCCCGCTCAACGGCTAATAATCTTGAAGAGCGTGCAAAACGTGTGTAAACCGGAGCATCTGGTTTTCTCTACTTTCCCTAGAAGATAATGAGAATAACCTGTTGAGCAAACCACACATAGCACTGTTACAAATGAGCCTTAGCAGCGACCTGGCTCCATGACTGTCCCATAGCATGATCCTTCCTGCTCACGTAGACCTTGGTCTCTGCCCGGGTTTGCCCAGTGCCTTCCTTTCTTTCTTTTGCTCTCTGTGAACTCTCTAATTGACTGCCCTGCCCGTGCTGGTTTGACTCTGGGGCTCTGTGACCTCCCTTCTTGCTGTCCTTTGTCCCCTTCTCTGTGATAGTCCTGTGTGCATGCCCCCACCCCTGCCAGTGGAAAATACTTCATGTGTTCAGAACTGGAAGGAGGTTTTTTGTTTTTCTAAAAGTCTTTCCTAAATTGTGATCCGTGCTCATTGTTACCATAGTGCATTTGGTGATGATACAATATGCTTTTTTTATTTCTGTCACAAAAATGATTGGGTTCTTTAAGCCTTGTTTTCCATCTAAAGCTGCCTTGTGGTGAGTTGATTTACTGGGCTTGGTAGAGCCCCATCCTACACAGGGTGACGTCTGTGGAGATGGTGTCTGAGGTTGCTTGTGCTCACAGACCAAGCACCGCCCCCTGGCCGGCCACCTGTGGCCGTGCCTCTCCGCTTGGCCTTTTTGTTGTAGTGGCTGTGGCAGCTTCGTTGAGTTTTCTGTGTTACACGTGATTTGGTTGTTTGAAATCCTAAAACATGGAAGATTTCTAAGCTAAGTGTGTGTCTCCATGTAGCCTGCTCCCTGCCTGGGGAGGGAAAGGTGAGGATGAAGGAAAGGGCTTCTGCGGAGTACAGTGCAGCCACCCACACGGGGGTCTGCGGGGGCTCTGCTTCATTGTGCAGGCCCGCCCTGTGTGCCCAGCATTGCTGATGCAGTCCACATTCAGGCTCAGATCATACATGGCAAGGCTGACTGAGGTGGCCACAAGGCTGGAACCAGGAGGTGTCCGTTTGTGGGGCCAGGGCAGGTCTGTGTGAGAGTGGAGCTGGAGAAGAAGCAGGGGGATTGGATTTTAGCCACCCACCCAGATGTGTGTGGATGGAAGGAGCCAGAGCAGGCCTGGCCTGTTGAACCTCTTCTGGTGGCAGGGCCCCGCTTCCCCTCAGGCCCCAGCCCCCCTGGCTGGGTCACCCACTGCTGCAGGACGGGGGCGCCCACTGCAGGCTCCAGGCTTCCTGCCTTCCCCGTCCCTTCCTCACAGCGAGCATAGACACCAAACACTAACAAGCCAGAAGTCAGCGGGGCCAGGGACAGGCTGGTGAGGAACCATCTGTAATGTCAAGCTGTTGGCTTTTCAGAGTATCAGGGAATGGAGACGGGGTCCAGAGAGGGGACAGGAGGCACCACTAACACAGCACAGCTCTGGCGGGGGGCGGGGGGCAGCTCCCACCCCACAACACCCGTAGGGCTGCCTGGTTCCCCAGGGCTGTCTGATGAATCGTGGTTGCATTTGTTTTGGTGACAAGCAGAAGATTGGGAATACGGCTAAAAGTTTAAGCAATTAGGAAAATGCTGAGGAAATGAGATAAAGAGATAGAGGAGTGGGCGCTGGCGGCTCACACCTGTCATCCAGCAGCTTGGGAGGCTGAGATCTGAGGATCACAGTTCCTAGCAGCTCGGGAGGCTGAGATCTGAGGATCACAGTTCAAAGCCAGTCAGGGCAAGAACGTTCATAAGGTTTTTTTGGGTTTTTTTTGTCAGTCGTGGGGCTTGAACTCGGGGCCTGGGCGCTGTCCCTCAGCTCTTCAGCTCAAGGCTGGCACTCTACCACTTGAGCCACAGAACTACTGAGATAAGAGTCTCACAGACTTTCCTGCCCCAGGCTGGCTTTAAACTGCCATCCTCAGATCTCAGCCTCCTGACTAACTAGGATGACCAGGCTGTTCGAGATTTTTATCTCCAATTAACTACCAAAAAGCCAGAAATGGAAGTGTGGCTCAAGTGGTAGAGGGGAAAAAATGCTTAGGGATAGAGCCTAGGCCCTGAGTCTAAGTTCAAGCTCTAGAATTGGTATAAAAGAGAGAGACAGAGGAGAGAGAGAAAGGGAGGGAGGGAGGATGGTGTCATGAAAGTAAAGGCTGGCAGGTTGTGCAGGGGTGACAGTGTCAGTCAGGGGTGTTTCTCAACGTTGGTGACCTACATGGGGTCACTGTCGGCAGCTCCAAGCCAGGTGCAGGCCTCCTGTTCACCAGACATTGGAGACTCAGGGTGTGAAAATGGCCTTGGCGCCAGAAGGAGGCCAGTTCTGCAGTCTGGCTTGCAGACAGCAGAGCCCACAGGCTGCAGTACGTAGGCCTTGTGGAGGAAGGAAGCTGGGGGAGGCGGTAGGAAGGTGTGCCCCCGCCCCTGCCAAGATGAGAACCCCAAGTGCAGACATGAGCACCTAACAGAGCAACTCCACACTTTGCATTGCAGTACGCAGTGTATAGTCAAGCCAGCACCATGAGCATTCCGGTTGCAATGGACACAGATGGGCCTCAGTATGAAGATGTGCAGGTGCTGAGAAAGACAGGGAGCGACGAGGCTCATCAGGTAAAAGTGAGCTCAAGCAGTGCTGCTCCAGAAATGCCAGCATCCCAGTAGCTAACATGGATCGTGTCAGCCTTCCGCTTCAGCTAAAATTATAGATCCCACTTGGCAATCCTTTAAGGAACGTTTGATCTCTAGATTTTAATCATCAGATTACTAGAAACAGTCTTTCATGGTTGTGTGTCTGCAATTTTTTTCATTTACTTTAACATTAGTAATCCCAAATCTATTCTTTATATATGTTAACGAGCAAAATCAAAAGCTTTGCAGTAATATCTTGCCACCTGCTTTTCCCTTTCCATCTCTCTGACTTCTGCTCTGGCCCAGAGACACCTCTTTTAGTTCTTCACAGGTGCACAGTGTGCTGGAAGGAGCCTGGGCCCAGGCCTTTGTGGCAGCACCTCAGGCAGTACACACGCTCTGAGGTGGTTTTCCATGGTGGAGACAGCACTTGGATCCGCAAGCCTCTTCCTGCTAACTGGGAATGTACACAGATAGGCTTCAAAGAAGTACTCCCACTTGGGTTTGAAGAGCCTTTGTGTATGTGTGCTAGTCCTGGGCTTGAACTAGGGCCTGGGAACTGTCCCTGGGCTTTTTTTGCCCAAGACTATCATTCTACCACTACAGCCACAGTGCTACTTCCAGCTTTTTTTTAGTGATTAATTGAAGATAAGAGTCTTGTGGACTTCCCTAACCAGGCTGGCTTCCTAAACCTTGATTCTCAGATCTCAGTCTCCTGAGTAGCTAGGATTATAGGTATGAGCCACCAATACCCAGCTCTTGTAACTTTTTTTTTTTCTTCCAGTCTTGGGACTTGAACTCTGGGTTTGGGCGCTATTGCTCAGCTCTTCAGCTCAAGGCTAGTGTTCTACCACTTAAGCCAGAGATAAGAATCTCACAGACTTTCTGCCTGGGTTGGCTTTGAGCCATGATCCTCAGATCTAAACCTCCTGAGTAGCTAGGATGACAGGCACCCTGCCTTTTTTAATGTGGCTCTTAGAAGATTTGGAATTGTGTGCATAGCTGGTGTTGTGTTTGGATGGGCAGCCCCTCTACAGGCTTTTTCTTACAGTGCTATGCACAGAGGTTTCTTGGCACTGTGTATCTGTGATGTCTTCCTGCCCAGACAATCCCTCAGCCTTAGTTAAGTTAAAAAAAAATAAGCAATTTAGAATGTTCGAACTACAACCCTCAGAACTTTAGTAACAGCACAACAAATTAAAAAGCAACTCCTGCCACAGTAAAAAAAAAAAAAAAGCAAATACTTCTTTCAGCTCATCAGAGCCTGAAAAAAAATCTAAAAATGAAATGGAAAAACTCAGCAGACACCTAATAAGCATCAGGAACTATATATTTTTTTCAATCTAATCCAGTTGGATTCCATGCTTTGCTCATAAGGATTATTCTCTTTATTTATTTTTTGTGGGGGTCCGATCGTGGGGCCTGAACTCTGGGCCTGGGCACTGTCCCTCAGCTCTTCAGCTCAAGGCTAGCGCTCTACCACTTGAGCCACAGTGCCACTTCCAGCTT